ATTTAATGGCAATTTTCACAAAAAGAAAGAAGGGGAGACAAATGCCATAACAGTAGGAAAGAAGAATCAGCCTTGCAAACAGCCTTACCGACAGTATCAACAGCCTCAACAAGGCTATATTCAATAATCTCAGTAAAGTTTCGCTCAACAGCCAATGTATCCCGTGCAGTATGTGCAACAGTTGTATGTGGCAGCTGTAATGCCTACATTCAGCAATTCAGTTCCGAATTATTAGACGGTGCAACAGACACCTATGTATCAACCAATACAACAACAAGGGTATCAACGAGCACCTAGTGCTCCAGCTTATCAGCAATACCAACAACCTTGGGCTCAAGCACCCAAACAAAACTTTTAAAATAGAAGACTAGCAGGAAGGCCTCTCATTCCTCCGATCTGAATGACCTATACTGAGTTGTACCCATCCTTAGTACAACAAGGGATGATTACAAATCGACCATTGGGACCACCATCAGACACCTAATCTTCTTATTATAATCCTAAGGCTCGTTGTTTATTTCATGAGGGTGCTGGTGGACATGATTTAGAGGGATGTCTTGCTCTGAAACATCTTGTCAGAGAACTTATGGAAAAGAAAAACTTGTCTTTTGATGATGTGCAACCCAATGTTAAGAGAAACCTGTTGCCGAAGCATGAGGGAGTTCATGCCATAGAGGAGGCATCAGATGAGTGGATAATCCGTGATGCATCAGAGATCAAAACTCTGTTGCGATCTCTTCATGAAAAATTATTAAAGGAAGGTCTGATTGAAGGCGTCCATGCTAATTGCAAAGAATGTTATGTTGATCCTAGAGAATGTTGTGTGGTTCAGAGGAATGTGCAAAAATTGATTGATGACAAATTTCTGCAAGTATGTAGCAAGATGAAAAGGGAGGATGTTTTGGTGATTGAGCCCGTTTTCAACTTACCAAAGAATAGTGAAAAGGTCCCCGTGTTTAAAGTGCCCGATTCTGGTTCAGTGATTCCGGTCTTCAAAAGTGTTAAACCTGTTTTCAATGTCTCCAAGCCTGCTACATCAGCAATTGGTCAATTCAGACTAATTATAATCCAAAAGCCGAGTCCTTTCTGTTTTGAGAGTACAAAAGTTGTCCCTTGGAGGTACTATATGACGGTGATTGATCAAGGATCAGGGAAATTCATTCAGAATGAAGAAATAAGGGTTAATCAAGCAGATGTGACAAATATTGCAGGAACTAGCATAATGACCCGCAACGGCCGGATCTATCAACCTAAGATTACAATGGTTTCCCAAAAAGAGGCCATTCCTGTTGTGACTGTCAAAGATAAAGAAGTGTCACCAAGCGAAGAAGACATGGAATTTCTGAGAATTATTCGAAAGAGTGATTACAAATTCGTCGATCATCTTCATCAAACTCCTTCAAAAATCTCAATCTTGTGTCTCCTAATGAATTCTCCCGCTCATAGGGAAGCCTTGCAGAAAGTGTTAGCACAAGCACATGTTACAAAAGCCCCAAATTTCGGTTGAACAAAGGAAGCAAGAAGAAGCGAAGGAATTTTACATCGCGAGACAGGGCTTCGCTACACGAGGAAAAGCAAGCTGAAACAGAAAGAAACATAACCAAAAATAACCAGTTTCGCTTGAAGCAAGAAGAAGCAAGCAGTAGCAAGAGAACTTCACTATGTGAACTTTATGTCGCATAGGAAGTATGGCGGTTTCCAGGGGCGGTTTGAAATTCTTAAAGGCTAAAAAAGCTGACTTTGTTATGCGACCAAAACTTCGCATAGCGAAAGTCCTCCATCTCAACCATTATAAAAGGGAAGACAACAGAGGCATTGAGGGTATCACAGTTTGAATTTCACATGTAATAAATATTAGTTAGATAGTTCTAAGTAGGGAGAAGAGTGTGGAAAGAATCGAGCAGGGTTCGTATCAAGAATCGAGAGATCATTCTTGATGCAAATGCATCTCCAATTCTTACTTTTTGTACAAGCTACCATGATAATGGATAGCTGAAGCTCTTCTCTTGTTAGGATTGGAAGGAAACTACCATAATCGTATGTATTTATTGATTCCTTCTTTAATGAAATTTTGTTCTTCATATTTATCGATTAAATCTTATTTTGTCATTCTGAACTTATGAATACAAATCGTGATTGAAAAATACATTTGTATTCAATTTAAAGATTATAATCGGTTAAACACTTCTTTCTAGACATGAAACTAAGGGTTTAACTTTCATAAACAACATTCGGTTCTTAATGTGATTGTTTTAGTTTAATTGATCGAGAAATCATCGGTTAAACTAAACTAATTGAAATCTCAACAAGCTTATAGACATGTATGCTGTTGTGAGTGAATTCAATGAAGGTAATGTGAAAAATAAGTTCTTTAAAGAAGTATCAACCAAATACATATGTGCACGGTAGTGGAATTTCAATCCTAACAAGTTCTCTATTATTTAAACTTTACTTTCTCAAGTTTCAATTTTATATTCTGTTACTTTAAAACCAAACCAATTTACAAACTTCACTTAAAACGATAACGATTGTCTTAAAGTTGGTAATATTGCATCGGTCTCTGTGGATACGATACTTAATACATTCTTTTGATTTACTCAACATCAAGCTCTAAGAATTACTAAAATCCTTTGGGAACCTCCTCTTCTTGTCTAGATTAATTGCAACTGTGATGGAGCTTATAGTCATAACCTCCTTCCAGTAGGTTGTGGTGGCATTTTTCGAAACAAGCATGGGAAACTTTATTTTTGGTTTTGCTGAGCAAGTTATTTGGTCTTCCTCCAATCTTTTAGTGTTTGTGCAATGCTTAAGGTTATGAAGATAGCTTGGGACAAGGGGTGGAACAAGCTTTGGATTGAGACGAATTCAAAATTTGTGGTTCAAGCTTTTCAATAGCCTTCATTGGTTCCTTAGAAAATTAATGAAACAACTGTCTAACTCATTTTGCACATAAACACATCTTCATTTCGCGCATTTATAGAGAAGGGAATACTTGTGCTGACTTTTTAGCAAATCTTGGTCTCACTTGTAATTCCCTAACCATTTTATATTCCATCCCCTTGGGTATTAGGAAAATTTTTGTTCAAAATAGGTTAGGAACGCATTCTTTTAGGTTTACATCTTTTTGTTGAGTTGACTTTTTAACAATTCTCTCCTTTGTAATATTTTGGTTTATCTATTTATATATGTGGACTTATTTTTAAAAAAAATTGATTAGACATTATAGAAAAAGCTTCCTAATCAAGAAGATAATCCCCTAATAAACTGTTTAGGTCTTAAAAAAATTATTGTGTGTACATGTTTGATTTAGCGTAACTTTCTTGATTTGCTGGGAGAGAGTAGGGAGTCCTTGTGTTTTTACAAGACACTGATCACTCAAACAAACAAGATCAAGCGAACTTTCACGCTTCCTCTCTTTCACACTCTAAAGCTTGAGGTCTTGATATCATTATCTTTGATTTTAGCATCACACAAGAACCTTAAGTCTTCTTGGCGAGGCTTAAAATATTTCCATATTAGTTATTATCATTTGAGATGTTGAAAGTTTAAACCATCGTTGATCATAAACCCTAAGTCTTTACTTTAGATTCTTTGGACTATAATGTTGACTTTAAACAAATATTTTTAGCTTGATTCGGGAGAATGGTTTGATCAACCATGTCATTGTCAAATAATGTGCATCTACGACCGCTTGAGCTATCTTTGGAAATTTGTTTGACTTCAAGCGTTGTCATCATCAAAATCATGTCATTGTCAAACCTGAACAACTTCTAATTGACTTTTATCTTGCTATCCATAAGTTTCACCATCTTGAATCACTTCTTGATTATACTTGCGAACACATAGATCCACATCAAAGAATTGCTCATATACAATGATTAAAGTTAGATCCATATTTTCTCTACAGTCTTCTACCTACCGACTTTCCTTAATACTTTATTTATGTGCTTTATCCATCATCTCAATCTTATCTACTTCTATTAGCTTGTCTAAGCATAAAATCTCATCTTTCAATGCTTTTATACATACCTTTGTTATGTGGTAAATGCCATTTGTTCTGAAATTCAAACACGCCAAGAACAATGACACGTGGGACAAAGAACAAAAACAACTACACTAAACAATCTCAAACAATAATAATCTATCAATTAATGTGAAATGTGAAAGCAAAACCACAATAAAATAAACAAAATAAAATACTAAAATCAACACAGAAAATTGTTTATCAAATTCGAACCAAAATCATCTACTTCAAAAAAAAAAAATCTGATTCACTACCAATCAAGAGTTTAATCAAGAGAAATAATAAAAACATCACATTATTTGATTTGAAACCTAAATCTCTTTTAATGCACAAATCACTCCATCCCAAAATATTTAAAAGAGTTTTACAATCCTCTTCTCCATCTTCATCTCTCTTTAAAAAAAATTATTCCTCATAAAGTTGTGCACTTTAGACAAAACCAAAACCTTCAACTTTTAGAAAGAGATTAATTTTAAAGTAAAACTTCTACAAACTGCTCTATACATATTTAAATTGTGATACAAAATATATTTTAAACGATACTCCTACTCTTAAAAGAAAGAATTCACAAAAATATTTTAAAAATAGATTATTTCTCAATCTAATATTTTAAATACACTTAAAATATAAATATAAATTTATAATCTTTTAAAATATTTAAACATATAATTCTTAAAACACAAATATCATGAGTCTAGTTTGAGACGTATGCATTGTCTATCTAACACATGACAAGACAATTCCTTCATAAAAAAACATGACAAGACAATTTGAAGAGGTGGTTATGTTTTATAGCTCCCTTATCGATTCAAATATTGATACTGCTGAGGAGGTGAAAATTTACAAATCATGCTGAAACCTGTTTGCAACTTACAAATAATTTGCAATTAAGTTGTTATAAAACAGCATAAAAAGTCACTTATGTTCTAATAAAACTTAAAAACACACTATGTTGGTGTTAAGTAGAGCTAGGTAGCTACCAGAAGAAATTAGCAAGTTCAGATTGAGTTTGTGATTCTTCAAGTTCGTTTGATGGAGAATGAGCATGTCTTCCTTCATATGTTGTTATCACCATTCTTGGATCCTCAGCCAATCGTTCTACTCGTTTCTTTACTCGACAGGTGTCTTGTGTGCAACGGTAGTAGCTTCTGGAAACAGCCAAAGAGAATGTATAAAAGTAGTAACAATAATCACTTACACTTGGATTGGTCAAAAGCAAAATAATAAGTGAAAGGAAACCATAGCAAGGCTATCATATATGTTCAATGAGTGTAAAGGAGAAACTTCTTGGTACTCAATTATACTACAGCATGTGATAGTCCTAAACTTTTCACGTTTTAACAATATAACATACACATTACCATTTGAGAGTCCTAACTTTCAACATTAATTGTCAAAAAACTTGTTCCAAAAACACATAAAGTAAAATGATTGTATTTATTTCCTGTTAAGCACCAAAAAGAGTAAAGGACAATAATATGCATAAAGCTAAAGAAAAATTGAAATACCTGGGATGCTGAGTGTTCTTGACCACTTTCTGTCCGTACTTCCTCCATTTGTAACCATCATCCAACACATCTATATCACTCATTGTTTTGAAGCAAAACCTAGGTTCCCTCACCTTCCTTCTTCCCTTCATTTTCTTCATCTTTATTGCTGCTGAAACCCCTATATGATTATGATCATCTCCTCCACTACTTCTTTTACCCATCCAGCAATCACTTACTTCTCCCCATGCCCTAAATCCATTCAGATTTGTTAGTGCTAAAACATAAATATATACACAGACACGACCCAGATGCTAACACGTCGATATATATTGATAATAATTTAACAAAATAAATAATTTGAACGTAATAACAAAAGTTGGTGTCTGTGTTGATGTATGACACAGACAGACTATTTCCTCACCATGAATTCATTCTGGATCTGTTTAAGTCAAGGTTTTGGCCTCCTACACAACCAAAACCAGACGCAAGATCTTCGAATTCTCGTGGTTTATGAACAGCTGTTGCTAGTAAAGTTTCAGCAAATGTTGCAGCTTCAGGAGTTATTATCGCACTTACACCTTTCAAAGATTGATCATGGCAATTACCTAAAGGAGGTAAAGTCATGTTTGGAGGGAAAGGAATATTGAACCCCATCTGCATAGGGATCTCATGATCTTGTTGTTCTTCATCAAACAAGCTGTGGTGATTAACAATATTTGTGGTTGACATCATGCTAATATAAACCTAAAGTCTTAAATCTCTAGATCTATCAAAACTTGGAGAGGATGAATAAAAGGAGGTGTAGAAAAGTGGTAGATATAGGGTTCTCTTTGAAGAAACAAGGTAGAGAGAGTTTGTTTTTGAACTTTGGTTGTGGTTACACCATTAACTTGTAGCTTGAAAATATATCTTATAACGTTGCTCAACTAACTTTCCCTTTTCAATTGCTTTGCCTTTCTTTTCTTTTCTTTCTGCAAGAATATAATAATAATAATAATTTCTTTAATATATATATATATATATATATATATATATATATATATATATATATATAATTACATGCTGCACCTTATAGCAAAATTAAATTCTTAAAAAATTACATTCAATAGCTTAGACGTCACAGAATTTTTATATATGAATTTTTGAATTCTTTATAAAAGATTTACATGTCTGTCCGATATTAAATCAAATAGTACGAAAATATTTTAATTGTTAAAATATATTTTTTTATTTTTAATTAATTTAATTTAAATGAGTTTCGAAGAATGTTTGTCCCATAATAAACCTTTGGCAAAATATGTTAACTTAAGTGTTTGATAGTTCCTCTTAGAATTCTCTATTAATCTAATAATACTATGGATTAACGAATTTTAAAACGACTTTAATATTATAAATTTCTATATTAAAATTATGTTTAATAAAATTGACTTGTAAATACAACACATTCCTCTTTGTAAACTAATTTGTATGTCATATATTTTTTTTATAAGCATTTTTATGTCGTATTCGATTGAATGTGAAACTCTTTGAGCATTGTTCTATAAAGATTTTGAAATTATATGTGCTTTATAGTGAGTGGAGTTTTCCTGTAGGATCTAAGTCAACAATACAAGACAAAAGGTTAACTTAGAGGTTGCTATATTTCTACTCTCTTTTAGCCCTTAAAAATGTATGAAACTTACATGCAAAATCCTCCATCACTAAATATGATAATTATAACATGGGCAAAAGTGAAACCTGTTGAGTGCACAATAATAGATCAAAGGATACATAATCAAAATTATCACTCATCAATTCACTATTGATTATCTCAAAAAATAAAGTGAAAAGAGAGCGGGTAATTATTCACTTTGTAGGGTTACTTTTCATATAATTTTATTGTAAAAGACGATCTCTTTTTAACACAATGTGTAAAAAGAAAAACAAATATCACAAAACAATGATGATGATAAATCTTGAGTGCAAATCTATCATACACATCCCTCTGCTGGGAAGATATGATTATGATTTATTATGATGGAGAGGAATATTTGACTTTTGCAGCAAAAAAGGTTATTGCCTTTTTCACATGCCTTTTGTTATTTAATTTCCCAAAACTTGAAACCAACCCACATACATCTACCTTTTTTTCTTTTCAAATATTTCTGCAGATTACCAACCTTATAATATTGTCATCATCTCTTGAATTAATTGCATAATTAACATTTGTAGTATGTCCTAAAGTATGTGGACCATTGTGCTCATTTGTATCTCTAGTGTTTAGAAAATTTACTCATAATGTGTGCTCTTTATTATTTGCACTGTATCTAGTGGTTTAGCTAGCTAGGCCTCAGATGAATAACTTCATTTTCGTAGAAATTATTGAATGAACTAAAAAGTAGCTGATGAATAATAATTTCTACAGTAAAACAGAGAACATATATATATATATATATATATATATATATATATATATATATATATATATATATATATATATATATATATATATATATATATATATATATATATATATATATATATTCTTTAAACTACTATTAATACTTTAACCGTAGCATATTGTTATTAAAAACCTAAACCCTATGAGATGGGTAATGAGGTGTATGATCTTAATGTATTCATTCACCATAGGTTTGATTATTATTTATTATGGTGGTAAAATGGATATAGTTAATTTTTATGGACATAGTTAATCTTTTAAATCTTTTAAATATTTGTCTTCGACTTTATTTACTCTATTTTATTTTTTACAGACTTTAGTAGAACGGATCTAAATGAAATTGAAATTGACATGTTCATTTGACATTCTATTTTTCAATTAATGATCCTCAAACTTATATATGAAAATTGAGCAGTATGTAGGTTTTTAGAAATTTTGGTGTTGTTAAGGTGTACATAAGTTACTTGTTATATAAGTAACTAATAATTAAGTTGGTTAGGTTGTGGCCTTGTTAGTGTTTGTAACCTCAACTAGTGTTAGTGTTTTTCTTTTTAATAATCAAAGGGATAAATACCTATTACAAAACAGATGTATACAATGATTTTACACAGAAATTAATATAATTTACAGCACCAACAAGGATTCACAAACCACCTTATAAAAAATCACAAAGACTTTTAAATCATTCATAATAGTTACAATCGACTTTGTTTCTATTAGCTATACCTATCCACCACCATAACATACGAATGATTCTAAAGAAAATCTCTTTAGAAATAGAAAATCCATCATTAAAGATTACTTGATTCCTAGTGTTAGTTGTATATAACCATAATGTGTTTAATAGTTAATGTTATAAATTCATGAATATTCAATGTCATGTGTGTGTTCCAAAATAATAAGAAAAGTGAGAATGAAGTAAATGCTAATAAATACAAGGGAAATAGTCTCACATAGAAAAATTTACTCACATTCAAAGTATTTATAAAGAGTTAAAAACATTAACTCAACAAAAGGACAAAAGAGGATAAAGTGCCACAGGGACACATGTGGTGGTATCAAACATTATGTCACTTGTCTCCTTCATACACCTATTGTCAGCGTCGCCACCAGCTCCGACCTTGACTCTGGGACTGGGTCCGAGGGCGTAGAGGCGCTAGTGGCGACTTGGAGGCAGCACGTCAGCACCCAGGCACGATGCATTGGAGCAATCGGGCTACTCGCGGCGCCGATGGCGCTTCGCAGGCGACGGTTGGACTTCGGCCGGGATCACTATTGCTCTCGTTTTGGTCGATGCATGTGTTTGAGTTTTTGAATTCGAAGAGAAGCAACACTTCGTAAAGTGTTACTGCGAATGGAAATAGGCAATGCTTAGAAACAACGCAACTTTGGGTTAAAAGGTGTTGTTTCATCAAGGGTCACAACCTTGTGAAACAACACATACATGGCCTATAAATACTTTATTCCAGAATTCATAAATCACATCACAAACCAAATATCCTCTTGAACAAATATCAAACTCTTTTCACTATAAAATTGAGTTTTCGTCGGTCCTGCACAAATTCGATATAAGGCAGAATCATCTCGGGTATTCATGCGTTCCAAGTCTAAGAAATATTTGAGAGTGCTTTAAATACTTTTAAGAAAAGTGATACCATTCACGATTCAGACCTAGATCCATTCAACTTTACGAATATTTCTAACAGTCTTAAAAGTATTCAAATAATGGCTTCCGACGTTGCAGTTTCAAGCATCAAAGCTATGAAACAGGACCTTGTCAAGTTGTATTGCTTTGATGGAACCAACTACACCCGGTGGCAGGATAAGATGACATTCCTACTAACCGCTCTGAAGGTTCAATGTGTCTTAGATCCTGACTTACCACCAATTCCTGAACCAACTGAGGATGACTCTGATGAACTTAAAAAGGAGTGTAATAAACATAAAGAGGACAATTGATATGTCGTGGACATATGTTGAATACATTATTTGATCGTCTCTACGACCTCTATACAGATACTTGGTCTACAACAGAAATTTAGAAATCACTCGAGTTTAAATTCAAGACCGAAGAGGAAGGTACGAAGAAGTTTTTAATTTCTAAATACTTTGATTTTAAATTTACAGATTCCAAGCCTATTCTTTCCCAAGTGTACGAGTTACAGGTTCTCGTGAATAAAATAAAAGTTGTGAAAATAGACATTTCTGAGACCTTTCAAATTGGTACAATCATTGCAAAATTACCACCTTTGTGGAAAGGCTATAGAAAGAAATTGTTGCACAATTCTGAGGACTTCTCTCTAGAGAAAATGCAAAAACATCTTCGAATCGAGGAGGAATCGAAGGAAAAGGAGAAATCAAAATCTGTTAGACTTTCCAAAGCCAGTGTTGTTACTGCCAAACGAAAAAAGAAACATGATGGCATGAAAAGTCATCTTGGACCTAAAAAGGAACATAACAAATTCAAAAATTGTGGCGGTTCGAAAGATCCGAAAAACGGTTGTTTTGTATATGGAAAACTCGACCATTATGCTCGAGATTGCAGGCACAACAAGTAAAAAAAAAGAGATCAATGCAGTTCATGCCGATGACGACATAATTGCTACGGTGAGCAAAATAATGGCAATCAAAAGCAAAGTGAAAGGATGATGGTATGACACATGTGCTACATTGCATGCCTCTTATGATAAGACTGCTTTTAAAACCTATTCTGAGGCAATTGATGGACAAGAAGTACAAATGTAAAATGAAGTATGATCTAAAGTTGTTGTAAACCAGATCCGTCGAACTCAACTTCACTTCTGGAAAGAAAGTCACTCTTGTTAATGTGCTATATGTCCTCGACATGACTAGGAATCTTATTAGTGGAGATTTGTTGGGTAAACCAGGAGTTAAATTTGTATATGAATCGCACAAACCGATATTAACCCGTAATGGTGTATTTATTGTGAAAGGATATTTCGTTGAGGGGATGATCAAACTCTATACTACCAATAATATTATTAATGAAATTTCTAATTCTGCTTACATGCTTGAGTCTGTTTCTTTATAGCATAATATATTAGCACATACCAGTATTAGTTCTATGAAGAGATTAATTAAATATGGTTTGATCTCGTGCAATATAAATGATTTCGAAAAATGTGAGTTATGCGTTAAATCAAAGGTGATTAAGAAACATTTCAAAAGTGTTGAAAGAAATACAAATCTCCTTGATCTTGTACATTCAGATTTGTGTGAATTTAATGGCATGTTAACCCATGGGGAAATAGATATTTTATTATATTCATCG